AACAGCTTACTCCTCAGTGGAACATTGACAACTCTGAGGTGAAACACAACTGTTATAAAATAGCATGCAGCAACAGTAGTGAGAAGTTTGAAGAGGAACCAGAAACAGAATGCCATGTCCAGTTGACAGTAAGTTACCCTGTCTCGATTTTCATGATAGCAATGTCTAATGAACCAGCACTGCAAAAATCTTCTACAATATCGAATGGTAGTCCATTGTTTAATTTTCAAAAATAATATATGCACAGTGACTTCTTGGACCATTAATTTATGGACCATGTAGTGGTCTATTACTGAGATCATTACCATCAGAATTAAAGAATAGACAAAAGTCACTCAAAATGGCCCAGCTACTTGAAGATTTGTGCTCCCCCACAAACAGCTCTCTAAACTACCAGTTCACACACATCACATCATCTCATCTCTTCAACGTACTCACATTAAAGCTACATATTTGGAAAGCCTGCAGTAGGAACACCCACGCAGAGTCAACCTGAAAACATAGCTGCTCATGAGACCAGCAGCAGAGAGTCAGAAAAAGGCTGTAAGAAACAGAGAGTAACCCTTGGTAGTATTAGCCAACTCCTCCCAAAGGAACCAAAACAACTATGCTGGCAAACTTTCTTAGACCAATCACACTGCAAACCCTGGAATCAAACTGTATCCACAGTAAGTGTGGCAACTTCCTTGGAAGTCAGCAAAACTGGTCTTCAAAAAAAGAGAAGAAAATCCAAGTTCATTCATATTCTGGCAGACTACATTATCAGTAACAATCCAAAACTGGCTTGAGTTCACCTTTTCAATACACATAATAATTACACTCTTACTTCACGATATTAACAGAGAAAAATACTGCAAGACCAATTTTTCACAAGAGACTACCAGTTGGCCTGCTCTTGTATGTTCCAATTTTGCACGTGTAAACTCTCTTGAATGTGTCTACGCCAAGCATATATACACATGCGTGAAAGGAAAGGTCATTTTTTTGAAACAGATCTGGCAGGAAATTGAGAAAAAAGCAAACAAGCTTAACATATTTCAAACTACTGCAAGACCTTGTTTGTAGAGGACAACAGGGAAGGAGAAGGACAATATCCATGCCAAAGTGCCATCACTTACAGTCAAAATTACATATTCAGCAGGACTAAAAGACTCAAAAGAGCAACTGGATTGAAAAAGGATGAATTTTTAATTTTCTGTATGCTTAGTTTTGAGCTTAGGTTTAGGTAACAGCAGTGAAGTTTGGGAGTACACAAGAGAAACTAACATGGCATTCAGAGAATCGAGACAGAAGGGAATTTGATGCATAATGCACCACTTGAAAAACAAGTGCAAGGATAAAAGTAAAAAAAATGGTTTACAGAGCATAAAGACTGGAGTGGCAAGTGAAGGGCAAGAGGAGGACAGAGAAAAGGTTCCAGTGAAGTTATGCAGCAATGTAAAAGGAGAAAAATACTTCAAGTAAAAACAGAAGCAGTAAAGATACTAAAAAAACTAGGTAACACATTGGCATTAACTTAGCAATATTTAAAACAGGCTGTAGGGGAGCAATCAGGACATAAGAGAACACACGGCTGCATACAAGCCAGAAACACGTGCCTACAGTAATCCAGAGATGTAGAAATCTGCGGGATTCTGCCCAAACACTGGATCTGCATGTCCCTATCACAGCGATCAGAGATACCTAAACTACTTCTCTGTAACAACACCACAATGGACTCCAAACACTTCACAAATCCTCCCTGCGAGTCATCACTAGACACACACATCTTACAGAAGAAAGCTACAGCACAAATAATACTAGACAAGCTCTAGATTTGATCGTGACTGACAAAAGTTTGTTATTTCCCTACTGAGACAATAACTGAGCATGAGATTGTGCTTTACCTCTCTCAGATTGTCAGTTTATACCTGAAAAGAGACACATACTCTATAAAGAACTTCCCTTCTATTTGAGATGTGGGTCAGCTTTCCAGCATCCACTGTCCACTATACTAGAGTAAGATGTGTGGCCTTGACCAAATTTCATCTGTGTTGAACACACAGCCATATGAAAGATTAAACATATCCCACAGTAACATTCACAGTGCAAACACTGTAGTGTTGTAGCATTCTTCACTCATGTCTTCCTGCATAAGGACAAGTTCTTTCCCATCCTGTGAAAACAACATATTTCTACAGGAAAAAAAATAGTAATTTGCTGACACTGGTAGCAACTATAGCTTCCTCCCCTCTTGATCCTTCAGCTGTTTTAACATCTTGAATCTACATCTGGCCATAAACCTCAGCATGGCACAAGATAGCATATTTCTCAAACAACTATGCTGACATCAGTTTAGACCATTATATTAATGGAAAAGGCCAGGTTCCTAGTTGATTTTATCACTTTACCACAGACTTTACCAGAGTTGATCATCCTTGACTCATCAGTGGGAACTGGTAAAGTGGGAGGTGAGAACTTGTAACGGTGCATTGCTTGTTTGGAGAAGTCCTATGGGGCCATCAGGAGTACAGCCTGGCTCCTACTCAAGGCCCCAGACACAGGAGCCCTCAAAATCCCAACTTATTTCTCCCTCATCCCATACTTAAGAGGGACTCCTGAAGTGCTGCAAGATGCTCCCTGGACCATAACGACTCACCATGCTGACAGTACTTTGCTCAGTTTCTCCTTGATACCACAGCTGTGATCATGACTCTCTGTGTTTGCAGGGTTAGAAGCACAGGTAGAAATTAACTGGTTTAGACTTAATCCTGAAAGGATGATGGCAGTGATGGAGAGGAAAATACCCTGAGGCCCTGGTGAGCACTATAATTATGCTTTCTGTAAAAATAATCCCCATTCTTGTCCAAGTGGGTTGTAGTTTCAGGGATTTACTGGATCTACTGCTGATCCTAGACTCTCAGAGAAACCTTCCATCTCCCACAAGCCTATGATCTCACTCCCTCATGTCTCTTGCCGCAATTTTCTCTACCTACTTTGTCCTTACACTGCTATGGTACAATAGCATTTCTAGGACCACCCCCAAAAATTACTTGAAAACAGGAGCAAAGCAGGTAATTTTATTGAAAAGGCCCTTTGCTGAAATGTTCTTCGTTCACTGTCCAGCGAACCACTAGCTGTATCACTCTACACTTTCTGTGACCAGACCTGTATTAGAAGGTATTTTCCTTGTAGAGGAGTTGGGGCTGGTCAGGAGTTTATCAAGCTCAACTGAAAGTATGGGACACACTGGTCTTACAGACACCCATTATCAGAGCCTAAACACTATGAACACTTATAAAGTACATACAAAACACATTCAAACATTAACCAATGTGATACACACGCAAACCAGAGCAAAGAGGTCACAAGAATTGACCTGTTTTACACAGCTATGCTCAATTCGCTGACCTGGAACAGCCCTGAATTAGGCATTTCCATACTCTTAGAACAAACATAGAAATAATGCCCTTTCACATAAATATGAGACTTGCAAATAAGTTTTCCAAACAAAATACAGCAGAGCAAAAACCCCTGAATCCATGAGATGCTTACAGAAAAATTATTCATATATGCCTTTCAAATATGGCATGGAGCCTAAAATGTCTGAAGTATGCATTTATGTACTTTGGGCTTTCCCAAGAAAACAGAAACTATAGTCAAAAAACACATTTGGAATCACTTCACTTCAGCCACCATGTTACAGTTGTGTCCCGTACAAGCTCCCAACAACTTGCCATATTCGAGCTGCTGAGCATGACTAAACTAACATGCAGAAAGTCCTACTCATAGGATGCTGTTCACAGGGGAGTGAAGATAAATACGAAGATGCAGTAACAGGATCTAAGCAAACAGCACAGGCACATACAAACACCCAGTTCGAACAGTAACAGCACATTCTGACTTGTTTCAAGGGAAGACTAATGGATTAACTCCTTCACCCTCCAAGTCATTTTGCCCATCACCTCCAAGGCTGATTCTTACCAAATACTTACAAATGTGCAGATTTGTGGCCTTCGACTGACAGTAGTGATGTTCTCTAATTGGCAGGAACACTGTCACTGTCTTCACATGACCTGCATTCTCTCTGCCTCCAGGATTAAAAAATAATAATACTATCTCCACCGAGTAATTCTAGAGCTGAAAAACTACCAGCCTGTCTTTCTGCCCTGTAGAAAGGCTACTTATATTTATTTCCCTGATAAGATCCACTAGACAGAGGTAATGTGTTATATCATTATAAACAAACTTATGGTCCTATAATAGTTGAAGAAATCAAAGCCTGATATCATCTTAAATGAGGAGCACTACAGATTGCACCACCCTTAATCCAAATTAGGCAAGATCAGAAAGGGCTGAAAAAAACAGCCTTCAAAGCAGCAACTATTTGGTTGCTTTGCAAGAGAAGCCTGAATCATTCAGCACAGCTATTGAGGTGGGCAGCAGTGTAAAAATTAAGTGTGGCTGGACTACTGGAAGATGTCCAGATTCAGCACCATCTCCCTCATCAGAAATTATGAAGATTTGTTTCCAAGAAGCAACCCTGAGGGAGCACAGTGCCTGCTCTGCCATATACTGGAGTCTCCACTGAGCTCCATCAGGGAATGGAGACCCACCTCTGGCAACAGACAGAGGCAGAGAAGTAGGTTACTGAACTGCAGGTGAAACCTGCCAGAAGAGATCACAAAAGCAGAAAAATACTTTTCCAAGAAAGCTAACAATAGCAAAAGTCAGTATGACTCTGATGAGAAGCAGTGGACTGACAGCCCCAGAGAGTCAAGTCCTCTCTTCTTTTCCCCAGTACAGCACAAGTGATCACTGCACATACTTCCTCACAGTACATTTTTCATCAGTCTGGATGGGTTGATTTCTGGAAAATTAGGTGTATTCAGTCCCTAGCCTTTCTTTTGCCACAGCAAACAGAGACATCAGTAAGGGGTTTAGATCTGAAGAATTGTTTTACAGAGAACTGCTAGGCAAACACAATTCCAGTGATTCCATAAACAGTTAACAAGTGATACCTGAAGGAATGAAGAATGTATAGCCTTGTTTCAGCTCAATTCTTTGGCATCGTTCCACCCTGTCTCCAAGAAAGATATCACTTTGCTTTCCAGAGAGAACCCATTCTTCATAAAGTTCTAGATTCTGCAGAGTAGGTGGAATCAGCCAGAAAATCTAAAAATAAAACAAAGATTTAACTATTACCAACAGTCAACAAAAATAAATAGTGGAAAGATTCCAACAAGGTTATCATGTGTTAGACAAATGAATGCATAACACCAAGCCTGCTTTCTGCATAGAACACGTATTTTTCAGGTGCTGTACACACAGGCACACAGCAGACCACAGCAGCAATTAGTTCATGTGCTGGATGTGGTACAATAACTAACAGCTGTCATTTCTCTTCCATGAAAAATCTTACTCAGAAGACACTTGCATGGTATATTTTCCATTCAAAACAGTGCGTTGGTATAGTACAACTTCACTGGACTATATAGATGAACAGTACCTGTACCACAGAGATGTTCAATCTGCTGTATTTATTTCAGTTCCCACCATAGGCTGTCTATTCTACAATTAGAAAAATCAATGTAAAACAGTAGCCATACCTGCTGTGTATTTTAACGCTTCTGTATCCTGTAATATTTCATTTCCAGCATAGTGTGCATGTGCACACTAAAGGAACATGCAATCTCCAAAAGGAAACAGAAGCTCTAGCTACAGGAGGAGACTTGTGAGGGCACTCTGACCCAACAAGGATACACACAGCCACATACTCACTGCAAGACACTCCTAAACCATGCAGTAATAGCAAGCCTAAAAGCACCACCAGCAGCAAATAACACATTTGGTATTTCAAATAAATCATTAATTTGTTTCATAAAGGTGCATGGTGTCCTTCTAGTTCAGCAAACACCATGTACATCAACAAAGCTAGCTGAAATAGGCTGACCGCTGACTAGCCCCCACACTCCTCGCCACCCCCTCCAAAAAAATAAAAAAAAATAAAAAGAAAGCAACCCCTGCCCTCCATAAGAGGCAAAGAGAAATAAAAACAAGTATCAAACAAGGTTCACCTACCTTCCCCCCACGGAAAACGTGATACCACACTGAAGTGCCACCAAAATCAATATGAAAATCAGTGAAGCATCCTTTCACACTCATCAAACAGTACCTGTAAGCAGAGCGAAGGACAAAAATGAATCCGTCTGAAACAGTGTTTTCCATGTCTTAATTTGCAGAGGTTAACTGCAATGTGCGATACTGTTTCCACCAATTAAGTTCCTGCATTTATAGTACTGGGATTTGTCTCATGAGTAACTGTAACTAGGTTTCTGCTGAAAAATGCCTATCTCCACATTCAAGTTTGCTGTTCATACAACTGGAACTAAAGCCTTCAGAGTAAGGAATAGGAAAATATTAAAAGTTATGCTGTTCAGAAATATTTCTAATGCCACCACCAAACCCCAGGGTGATCTGTTTAATGCTCTCCTTCACTGCTTGAGAAGCATAACCTTCACCAGAAGTTGTACACAAACTGCTTCAAAGAGCAAAGTTTTGAAAAATCTAATTTGCTTATAAATCCACCTGAATGTTCTTTACCTACTTGCCACTAATGCCATTTTTGCAAGGACTGGGGGACAGAAACCTCATCTGGCAAATTAACTCATTTTTGTTCACATTTCTAGGCATTTCTGCATCAAAATACATAAAGGAAACAGCTGGTAGCATCGCTAAGTATCAAATCCACTATTTTTTATGCCGTCTTGATTCAGGTTTTCAAAGCAGTTTAAAGTCGGCATCACTGGAAAGAGATACAAGAGCTCTCATCTCGCTGCATGAGTCTCAAGCCTCCAGCCACCATCTGTAACTAATGGCCGAATTACAGCCGCCCTTCTCACTATAGGCACCTTTGCAAACGCAGGAAACACACACCACTTAACCCACTAACCTCTTTTCCTTGTTCCGGTCTCCGTTTCATGGATTTTTTTTTTTTTTTTTTTTTTTTTTTTGGAGAGGGGGTTTATGGAAACAGTACCAGAAGGGGATTTGTAAAAAAAAAGAAAAAAGGTTTCATTTAATTGTGTCTTTTTCTCATCACATTCAGGTAGAGAGATTCTCAGCAGTATGCAGACGGCGTGCAAGTCCCTCTAGATGATAGGCTGGAAAGGACCTTACCATGTGTCTGCAGAAGGCTGGCAAATCAGAGAGACTATAGGTACATAAGAGCCCGCTGCCTAGCAACCACATCCCGAGCTGGAGTTGACAGAATGATACGCAATGCTGTCATGAAGACAGTCAATTTGTGGGCTTCAAAAAAGGTCCTGCGCCTTCATCTCACAATTAAAACCGCTCCTTGTGCAATTACATGTCTCCCCTCTTGCCCACTCTGGAAATTTTATTTTTTTTTATCCTTCAGAAGCAGGAAGAGCGCTTTTTCTGCCCCTGGGGTATTTCAGATGCTTCAAAAATCACAGCTAGCCAAGAAGCTGTCTAGACTCTCAATATGCTCCATTTCAAAATATGAGTCCTTCCCTCCCAAATGCATTTTTTTTTAATTTCTTCTTTTATGTTTTCTCTACCAAGATGTTGTTGATTACAAGTCAGATAGAATTTAAAAACAATAAAAGAAGCCCAGAAAGGAAGCTGCCTTTCCTCCAGCCAAACTGCAAAAAGTCACAGATTGAATAATTGCTCATAAAACAACAACAAAAAAAAAACCCAACATGGAAATTCTCAGTTTGTGGGCAGTGTTGAGTATTAGAGGTTCATGTTGTTTTAAAGTAAAAAATCCAAATCCTTATGGAATCAATTATTTTCAGTTTCCAAAAGGTCAGATGTAAAATACATCACACTAACAAAAATTCTCTAAGACAGTGCTACCTACCAACAATTACCCATCTTATTGAGATATTCCAAAAGAGCATAAATGGCCTAAGCATTAGCCAGTTTTATTTATTCCTCAGTAGTCAATAATCCAAACTTGAAGCTGTCGATCTGTTTGTGTTCAGAGAGGAAATAACAGAATTGAATTCTCTGTCAAATCAAAGTGTTTAAAATTTAGTTTTGTGAGAAAACACCAAGGCAGATATAACTGTGAATACGCAACTCTTTTTTCCTTGTTTTTCCCCATTTTCCCTCTGTTTTCTTGAAACTCCTCTAAACACAACAATTTCCACTCCAGTAAAGGTGGGTTTAGTGAAAGAGCCACATATGGCGATTAATAAAAACCCACAAAGCATTTGGAAAAAAAAAAAAAAACAGTTTTTCTTTCCATCCACAAACAAGCCATGCCATTTAATTTCTGCTGTTAATCTTACAGGGGTGCTTTTGTCCAACCCCAACAGCTACCAAAAGGCTCAGGAGCCTGAAAAAGCAATCTTCCGCCATATAGCAATCTCCCTTGTTGCCAGAGTCTGGCACAATGCCTTTGCATTGACCTCTACAGCTTCCTCTTCCAATGTACACCGCAGTCACATGGTCCCAGCACAGCTCCATGCCACAGCTAATCTTATACACCGCTCAGCTCCAACCTCAGCAAGCGCCTTCTCATCAGTAACAGCTGCTAATTTGGGGAACCACTCAACTTCTCAGGTTTTTCCGTAACAAAAAAAAAAAAAAAAAAAAAAAAAAGGGAAAAGAAAAATAAAAAAGGGGGGAGGAGGGAAAAAAAGCCATAACACAGCATCCATGTTGAAAGAAATCTTAGAAACTACATCCCACTGTGTGCTCTGGTTGTAGGTCTCTGCCTTCAGCACTCTGGGCCAGAGCAGGTAAAGTGGGTTACAGGAACACAATCCCAAGCAGGGCACGAGCAAACAATTTGACCAGAGTTACACCCTGAAAATACAGGTGATGCAAAAGACGCCCCAACTTTAATTTTTTTCTTCACAACTGCTACCACATCCAATCCCTGCATACTCCACTTTACCTCCCTGCACAGCCTCAGTTAGGGTTTTAAAACATGCAGCTGCTTGTAATCTGTTGTGGGGGAGCTTCCCTTCCCCACTTAAGAGTTTGTTTTATGCTCTCCACAAGCCTGAAATTGTTCAGGTTAATGTATTGTTATTTTGGAGGAAGGATTTGCAGTGTGAGGGGAAAGTTCCCCTTTCCCCCAAAAAACGTGGTGAATTTTGTTAGAGAAACGATGCGAAGAAATATGGAGTAACCTGCAAACTCACAGGGAAGAACAAACACAGAGATCCCCAAAAAAGAGGGGGCGATGATACAAATGAAGGTAAACCACTAAGCAAACGCAGAGAGCTGGGAGCACAGAAACAACACAGAGACACCGCTCCATAAGCCAGCGCAGATCCCACACTCCCAGGCAAACCCACAATGCACTCGCCACGCATAGCTACAAACCCGCAAGCAAACAGAGAAACAAAGACAGCGACAGACACGCCGGGCTGCGAACGCACACACGCGCAGGCACATATACATGGGCAGGGGGACGCCAAGGCGCAACGTACATGCACATGAACTCGGGGGAGACGCGCGAGCACACGCAGAGGCAGCATTACCCTGAGCTTAGCTCCTTTTCTCTCGCAATAGGTACAGCGCACCATACGGCTCTATTCCCTCTGGCATTGCAAGGGCTCCCCTGCCACTGAGCTCAGCCCATAAACCACTCCCAAACCCCAGCAGAGGCTTCTGTTTTTTGTTCGGGCCAATGAGAAAAGTATAGCTCACTCTTCCTTCCTCCCAGGAGCAGCGCCGGCTGGTTGAAATCCCTAAGCCTGAAACCGAATACCACAAACCCATGAGCCAACTGCAAGTGCCAAACCGGGGAAAAGGAGCAGGCCCTGCTCTGTGCGTTCGCTCGCTCGTCCTCTCCTCTCCCCGGGGCAGGAGAGGTGCTCCCAGGCGTCGGATGAGGGAGGCTGTGGCGGTCCCCGGCAGCATCCCGGGGGTCCCCTTCTCCCAGGCCTCGCCTCCCAGCATCTGGAAGCAGGAGCTGGAGGAACACAGCAGGAAACAATAGCTACCTTTGGGCGACTCCGCAGGCTAACGGCCTGACCCGCGCTGAGCAACACTCCCACACTGGGGCCCTGTAACCGAAAGCCACAAATTACGCCGCAAGACAAAAGAAACCATTGTCACCCGGGAGACATGGGGCCCGTCAGCCCCCCCCCCCGGCCCCTGCCGAGGGGCTCCCCGCGGGGAGTGGCCGGCCTCTCCACCTCCTCGGGGAGGGCCGCGGCTCCCCTCCCCTCAGGGAAGAGCCCGGGCTTCTCCTCAGGGAGGGCCCCCTCGGCACCCACCGCCGGGGCCGGCTCTGCCTATGGAGGGGCCCCGCGGAGCCCGGGGCTGAGGGGGGAGGCACAGCCGAGGCCCAAGACCAGGGGCCCCACAGCACAAAGGCACCCGGCCCCCTTCCCCTCGGCAGGCCCGGCTGGGGCAGCCAGCCTGAAGTAAAAACAAACCACCACCTATCAAGCCCAACTAGTAACTAATCATTAAACACCGTGCTTGCAGCAGGCACTTCAAAAAGCACATGAAAGACCCGGTTCCTGCCCTGAGGGGGTTACGATCTGAGTCAGTCAGACAAAAACAACCCCCGAGATAAGAGAAAGCCTATTTTCTGCGATGCGCCAGAGATTTTCGTGAAGCGGCTGCAAATGACACTCACAGATCACGCTGGGACCAAAGTAAGTGCCAACACTTCCCTCATCCCACCCTTGTCCTGATCCTGTCGGAGGTGAAATGCCAAGCGCCGGTGCGCGCAGGGTGGGCTCGTGCCTCAGCGTTCCGCTGCCACGAGTGGGGACTTCACAGGGAAAGCGTTATTTACCTTTCAGCTGTCAGATTTTGGCATGAACAGCCCACGTAGAGGATCAGCAGAACTGCACCCAGCTACCATCTCAGGCTGCCTGCAAACCTCGTTGCTGCGGCGTATGTTCAGCTACCGCTGGGAAGGTTACCTTTGAACTTTAAGAATGAAGAGGCCTCTTTTTTTTTTTTTTTTTTCTTTTTTTTTTGATTGGAAGCTTAAATTTCTGAGAAGGCACCCACCACCATGAGGAAATGAACCAAGCTGCCAATTCACAATGAGCTGGGCCTGTCTGGCCCTGGAACATCATTTGGTATCGGTGAGAACACAACTCGTTTCTCCATCCTTGTGACATGGCTGTTCAGCTTCAGGCTCACCACAGAGCATTTTAAATGCCGGTGCTTATTTAAGTCACACGTGTGATGCTGCAAGTCCTCCAAGCTCTACACACAGGAGGATTTGAGACTAATGCACTGACTTGAAGACATTAAATTGTATTTACTTTGCTAGCTTGGAAAGTTTTAATGAGAACTTGCATTTATTGCTCTAATTTTCTTGTACTTAATTATATTTATAGAGTGGTTTTTCATCAAAAGAAATTCACAAATTACATGCGAAGTGCACACGAGTATCTCACATGCATAAAACGGCACCAGGTTGTGTTGCAAGATCTGCAAGCTCCCCTCAATTCAAAGGGCAATCTCTGTCTCCAGAGGCACACCCTCATCTTCTAATTAGACCACAGCTCAGCAGAGTATTTTAGCATCTGTTTAAATCCATCCCTACTTAGTAAAGGAACGGATGGCTGAATAACAGTTTAGGAGAGGGAAAACAGGGCTGAGTAACATGGTAAAAGCAGCATCCTTCTGTGAACAGGTAGATGTTTCATACAAGATACCTCATCCTTACCTGAAGGACAGCAGCAATATAAAGACCTAGTACAGCAGTGCTTAGATATTTTAAGTAATAGGAAGAATTTTAAAAGCTAAAAAGAGTGTTGCAGTGACTGAGGCTTTTGTTTTCATTTATTCCATAGCGCAAACTTTATCAGGTTGTTAGAAGTGCCTGTTACTATTTCTATAGCCATCATGTCCTGGCACAGTTGCTATTTCACTGCCACTGCTTTGGAAATAATCTTGCAGGGCTACAAATACAAAACCTAATAAAGAGGGTAATAATTTCAGCAAGGCTGTTTTGATAAATGAGAAATCAAATCAGTACTTTTTTTTTTTTTGGTTGGTTGGTTCAGGTTCAGCTGTATCCAGATTGCTTCAGTCCTGGTTGAATTTAAACAGAATACTAAATCTCAGCTTCTTTTGAGCTACCTGAAAATGGTTATGGTGCACCATGACAAAAGCAAGCAGTTCTGCACCCAGTTCAGTTTCCTTCTGTCAGTTTCCTACCCTTAGGATTTGCAGTACCACAGACATCTGAAGTGATATAACAAGCTTCTGCCCCTAAAAGCTGATATTGGAAGAGCACCGCCTTGTCCTCCTGCCCTGGCTCCTGGTTACACAGCACGCTGCCCGCTCTCAAGCCAGCTCCCATGCTTGTGCAGCCCTTTGCAGGAACATACGCACCGGGATGTGAAAGAGGGGAGGCAGGAGCAGCCTTTCTTAGGAGTAGTGAGCTACTCACTCTGCTCACCCCGTGTCTTGTGGCCCTGCACCTCATGTGAGCTGCAGAAGGGGTTTGTCGATGAGCCCATGGCTGTGTTTTTTCACACTTTTGCACTGCCCTTTGGCTGGCGCAAGCATTTATGCAGCCATGTGGTGGTTTGAATGGCCTGAAAAGTAACCAATTTTTCTTCTTTATTTCTGAATCAGTTTTCAGCCAGACTAGTCCCCAGTCCAGTTTACTCTGCAGCTGCACAACAGCGTGTTCAGGCAATGCGGGTGGGACAATGTGGGCATAGGACTGTTTTTTCAGGGGCAGTGCCAACTTACACCAGTTTGAATTTTGTCACACTACAATCTCAGCTAGCCATCCCCTTAATTTCTCACATCACTTTACTGCTTAAGATGTAGTACTTGGAAAGTTTTACTTATTTTTGACATAAACCATTTCCCCACTTAATTCAGTCTTCTAAGGCTACTACTAGGTAAGTAGTCATTTACTTACAGGCAGAAAAATAACCTCATTACCCAGAATTTTTTAAAAAAGTTAATGGTGCAAGTCCAAGTGAAAGCCAGAGCAGTCTCCAGTGCGCGTAGTGCTCCTGGTAACTGAAGCAGTGCAGCAGATGGAGCGTTCTCTAACTTCACTCCCAGCACGGAACTTGACGTGCAGGAGCCAAGACAGACATTTGTGTCTGGTAATGCCATCTGTGTCTGCAAAACCGCAACGCTTTCGCTGGAGTGCTTTTTGTTTGTAGGGAACACGTTAATGGTGGGTATCGCATACTGCAAACTCTTAGTATTATGAGAATGCTAAGAACAAGAATGAAATGAAACAATCACATTTCCGAGCAACAACAGTCATTAATAAAGCATATGAATATTGACGATGCGCATAAAAGAATGGGCAGCATGAAACAAGTGACAGCACTGACATTTAGCTCCACAATTGAATATGATCTCTTTAATAAGGGCTTATACCCTCTGGGTACTCACAGCAATAGCTGGGACAAGTATCTATACAGGAAAGGGTCAATCTGAATTTTGAAAGATGGAGAAAGCTAATCTCTTGATGAGTTCGTATTTAAACTGGACAAGTTCATGGAAGAGAAATCTCTGGAGAGTCACTAAGAACACAGAAACCACTTCCACCTCAGGATAGCCCCTGCCTGAACTGCAGAGAGTGGAAGTTCAGAAAATAATTTTAAGGGGCAGCATCATTTTATGCTCACACTGTTCTTACACTCCTCCCAGGGCATCTGTGACAGCACCCAGCAGCAGGCAGGTTAGTGAGTGCCACGGATCTTTGTCCTGATCCAGTACAACTGCTCTTGTACTCATAGACTATCAGTGTTTGTTATTGCTTTTATCTTTGTTGCTTCTTCAGACTGATGAGGGGTTTGTGCCAACAGTGCTGTAAATCAGCTTTCTCTAGTCTTTATGCTAGATGATGCTCACTAGCAACATCTCTCACTAGCAACATCTTCATCCTTCCAGTTGCATCACCCTTGCCTTTAACGATCATGCATGGTAACTCCTTTTCCCCACATCAAACTCTATTGTCACATTTCAAGCGCTTACAGTCTTTCACTGTTTAGCTTCCCTCTACCTATCACATCTACTAGTTTATCAAGCTGTCAACCTCCACCTTCACTTTGCCAGTGACAGCAACCTCAATGGCTCTGTGTCTGCTTCTTCATCAGGCATCTCCTTCCTTTCTATCAGGCCATCCCCCACACATGGGAAAAGCTCCATGTCAAAATCTGTTGAATTGCTACTTCTCTAAAATCCCTCTTTGAAACCTACCATCTGGCATTTCATGATGCAAGTAGTGAACTGCAAGAATATACTCTGCTTTTTCTGCTAAATTCTGTTAGTCATGTTGCTACCTTATTCTTTAAACCATCTCTGCCTTGCTTTGTTTACTTGCTACACTTTTTTCAGCATCTGGAGTGTGCCTGCTCTAGGAGAGGGATCATTTTCTTCTTACCTTGTATAGTCCATGAATCCTGAAGCCCTGAATCATGATTTAGTTTCTTAGCTCTAGCAGATTATAAATAATGTTATTTAGTAAACTAACCACTTGGGAAGCAACTTGCCTGGCTTCTATTTTCTACCATGCCACTGGCTTACTGTGTGACCTCGGGCAAGTCACTTAGGACATTTCCAAATGCACAGGTGAAATTTGGCACTCCTATCCATATCTAGTTATCCTAACAAGCAGCTTACTCTTTTCAGAATGTAGAGTATCTTTAGCTTCCACTGAAACCAATGTTGCTGAGCATATCATAGGACCAGGCTTCCCCATGATGCCTGCCACAGAGGCTTTTCTATCATGGAGACCTTTACCTTCTAAAATGTTTATTTTTACAGAATGAGAGTAAATGCTGCATATCACTTTCTGACTGCCCACTCCTTTGTATATGTTAGTACCAGTTTATTTTAGACATTACAGTTTGGAAAGAGTTCTGAGCGATTTGTGAAACACTAGGGGTTGGTTCAACAGCAGAGCCTGGGATGCCGCCAGCATTAGGTCTGGCCATTAGAAAATGCCTCTAAAACATAAACAGCAGTGAAGGACTTCCAGGATTATATGGTGTTCATCAGCTATACAGGTCAATAGCTATTTTATCATTAACAGTAATCCCTATCTCAGTTGTACTAATTCCTATGAATCTTACAGTGCACATTTTCAGGCCCCCAAAATAGTTCCCTTTTCCAATCATCATATAAAAAGTTTCAAGGAAGACATTCAAACAGAAGAAACAGTAAGGTGAGGTTATGGTATTGCAACTTGCCCAAAAACTATAGCCAAGATAGGCAGAAGCAGGACAAACTGCTCTTGTGTTCAGTTTCAAACCTGCCCTGAGTGGGTCCTCTGAAAGAAGAAACAGAGCCCGTATCATCAGTCCAGTATTTGTCCTTGCTGTTGAAAAAGTCAACAGAGAAGTAAACTGTCACAAAGGGCAGTGACAGAGCTTTGGGGGGAGACACACACCTATTAAAAATAGACTTCAAGTCCATTTCACAAAACATCTCTCAGTTAGTAACTCTTCAGCCATTAGTAGTTTAGAACCTGGGAAGGATCTGAACCGAGCCTGCAGAGGGACTCTGACTACACTGTGTGACATAGCTATATCCTATGAAGTGTTGTATTCAGCAAATTGTAAAACAAATTCATCAAGGAGGTCAAGAGCAGAGTTTTTTAAAGACTCAAACTTACTTTTTCACTTTGGGGTATTTCATCTCTGAGATAGCATTGGTAGCATCCGTCTGTCTCTCCTTCAAATGCTGTGGCCACATATTATCCACCCAGTCGACTAAGTCCACCTGAAAGCCCCACCAAAATCAACTGTTAGTTACAGAACACATGGTAGGATATATTCCTGTTGTCTAAAACTCTAACAATGACAGCAGATGCTCACAGACAGCAAGAACCTTGCTGCTCAGAGAAAGTCCTATGGACCCAACTTGTAAGGTACAGCACTTCATCACCACAACTCAGCGCTTTGCAACCCTGAGTAAGGGTTTTGCAGGCAATTTAACTGGGTGTAAATTGTGTCCTATGGGCACCTGTGAGCATCTTCTCTTGTAGCATCACCTGCTGTCTGTATTCAAATGCGTTTTTGTAGCTAACAGCCTAGAAATTACATTTATGAACATTAAAATACATACACAAAAGAGATTATGCTATTCCAATACCTTACATTTCAAGGAACATTAACACCATTGTTCTGGCCAAATTCT